GTGTGTGTGTGTGTGCGTGCTCATCTCGTAAACGCTGGACATGGCCTCTGAGGTCACAGCCGTGATCCGACGCCCCGTGGCATGGCACCTTCGTTGACGCCCGGTGTGAGCCACAGTTCGATGACCAAGCTTGAAGCCTGACAGTGGATGACTCCAGCAACTGTAAGGCACAGACGAAAATCACCTGAAAATTTTTGCTTGTTCACCCTGGGCGCAGAAGCATGCTTAGATGGTTGCATTCGCACCTTTCTTATAAGCAAGGTTACGCATCATCATCCCTCAAACTCAGACTTCTCAAACAAAGCAGTGCATGCAAGCACAACTCTTCTTGCCACTGTCATGGCCTGCACCGGAGCTTTGCTAGCTCGGCGGGCTCCATGGATCGCAACACGGAGGCACCATGTCTAGATCTGGGCCAGCGTGAGTTGCTGCAAGCGGCTGTGCAAAGGTGCCTCCGTCGGATCCCTGTCAAGTGGAGGCTCGAGAGCAGAGCCTGGGCCAGCGGCCCTCCATCGGCGACAATTCGCAGACAACAGTTCGAAACGCGGCGGCAACACGATTCGCACGATCGGCTGCTGTGGCTACGTGCCTTCTCGCGCTGTCCTTGCCAGGAAGTGGGAGCTGCTACCTTGATCGAGGGCCTCGATCTGACCGTCCAAAGTGGCGAACGATGGGCTCTGGTAGGCCCCAACGGCTCCGGGAAGAGCAGGGTCGCCAAGGCTCTGACAGAGACGTGGGTATCGACCCCAGGCCTCCGACAGAGAGGGACCGACTTTGCATGCTTTGTGTGTGTGTTTTTGTGTGCTTAGGTCGCTGCCGGCGGTCCTTCCTCTGCAGGTCACGTTTCCTTTGATCTGCAGACCAAAATGCTTCAGGATCGAATCGCTGTTTCACGTTTCAAACCTTCAAGAATCTCCAGCGAATTCGACCAGGATGAGCGCAGGGACTTCGAAGAGAGCCGCTACGAGTCGCGACACTTGCGAGCAACAGCCCCTTGGACGATCTTGCACAGCTCGGGCTCGGAAGCGGACTTCTTACTTTCAATTTGTCGCCGTGAGATTTTGTCTTGAATGTTGTGGCCTCAGGTTGCATCCTATCTGTTCCCAGATCGCTACCCAGCGGACCCCGACTATGATCCTGCTACTTGGGGCGCCTCGGATGCCTTGAGAGCTTGAAGAAAGCGGGGCTATCTGGATGCCGAGGTTATCGACCCCCGCGGACGCGCGTGTCCCCACTCCCGGCGCCATACGATGCGAGCAGTTCTCACCCCTTGCTGGGTGAGCTCGAGGCGGCATCGACCAGAGGCCCGGGAACCCGGCCAACAGAGGGGGGTACCAACCCCCCCCCGTTGCCTGGCAGCAGGTGAGGCGGCTCGGCTGTTGAAGCTCTTCGGCCTCTTTGAGCTGCGCCACCGACCGCTCTTCGCCCTCTCCACGGGTGAGGCCAGGGCTCGAGCAGAGGCAGAAGCGCAGACATCACGCGGCCGCGGCAGCAGGGGCGGAAGCTGCTGCTGGTGGATGCGCTACTGCAGCAGCTGCTTCCTTAGTTAGGAATTTCTGGCTTCTTGGGAGGGCCAGGCTGCATCGGTGGTCCAGAGGTCCAGTTTGCTGGTCCTGGACGAGGCGTTCGACGGCTTGGACAAAGACTCCCGAGCCGAGCTGCAGAGCGTTCTGGAGGCGGTTTTTGAGGACAAGAGCAAGACCCTTGTGACCCAGAAGCATTGGTTTCTCACGGCTGTACGACGCTGATGAAGCGATTCGCCAATTGCGGGGCAGGTGATGATTGCACACCGGGTGGAAGATCTCACTCCTGTCCCGACGCACGCATTGCTTCTTGGGCAAGGCCCGAAAGGCACGGCCTGCAGCGCCGCGGATTTCAAATGGTCTGGTGTGAGGGTCGCAGCTTCGGGGGATCTCCGAAGCTCCCAAGGTGCTGGCAGTTGGGCCGAGATGAAGGAACCCATTTCCAGGTTCTTGCAGGTGCGAATCCGCAGTGGCGTTTGCAAGTGTGGAGCTTGGTCCGCCCAGGCGGACAAGATGGCTGCGGTGTCATTGGCATCACACTCCAGCCAGCCATCCTCTAGACTAGCCGCTCCAGAGGCCGGATGTCCCTGTAGCTCTGTGAGGTAATCACACGTATTGCGTGAGGTAGTGTAGCACCGCAGCACTTCGCTGGAACAACCGGGCTACCAAGTTGCTGTGCATGACAGGAGCGCGGACAACTCGGAGAAGTGCTAGTGGAATTCAGGAATGTTACGATCCAGCCACTTGCAACAGCATATCGCCCTGCCCTCTTTTCAAGCCCGTGCTTTGCTTTCTGTCTACTTCGCTTCACATGTTCAGTTGCGAGTATTCTCAGCTTCTCAGCCAGGTATGGCCCGATCTTTGTTTTCAAGAAGCTAAATTGGACCGTCCGTCAGTCTGAAAAATGGATTGTGGTCGGCGGGAATGGCACGGGCAAGACTACTTTGGTAGATCTCATCACAGGTGAGAATGTGCAGGGCTACCAGCAAGATATTCATCTCTTCGGCCGTCAAAAGGGAAGTGGGGAGAGTGTCTGGGACATCAAAAAGCAGCTTGGGGTGATCTCCAGTGAGCTCCACATGGAGTACATGATTTTTTCAGATCCACGATTTGACCGCAAAGTAACTGCCTGGGAAGTTGTTTGTTCTGGACTCTTCGACAGCATCGGCTTGTACGTGGAGCCCACCTCAGTCCAAAGGATGGCTGTGCTCGAATGGATTGACAAACTCGGCTGAGACCTCGGTTGCCCGGGCTTCAGGTAGTTCTCGCAAACTTCTCTCCGAGTCTCTCCGAGGTTTGCAGGAGCTGGTGATCTCACCAAGCTGCGACAAGGCTCTGGCTGCCTTGGCGCCTTTTTCATCAAGCCCTATGTTCTTCGATCTTTCGCACGGGTGACTTTGCTTCGGCAAGACGCAACTGGATTCGATGCGATGCATGGACCGTGAAGCGCGACAAAAAGCCAAGGCAGCAGAAACTGGTGCTGCTTTGTCGCGCAATGGTCACTGGGCCTACAGATACAAGAACGCACAGCAACCTCTTGTGCAGCATGCATGAGATCATGGTAGTGGTGCTTGCTTGTGCGACTGCTTTTGAGGTGAAAGAACCTCGCTTGCTCCTTCTCGATGAGCCCACCCATGGGCTGTCCGGAAGCAACCGCGCGAAGTTCCTGTCGCTTCTTCAGCCGCCTGTCGAACCAAACATCACCGGGCTCGAAAGCTTGAAGCCAGCTGAGTGGAGACGTAACTCTTGCGATGAAATCTTGGACTGAGAGCGAAAGGGTTAGCGGTAACTGTCACGGCCCTGAGTCCTCCGAGGCGGCTCGCGCAAAGCTCGGATGTGGCGATCATCCTCGTCACCCACAGGGAAGATGAGATTCGGTCGCTCGGCTTCCCCAACGTCCTGCGGCTGCGAAGGGACCAGGAGGGCCAAGAGGACTCGAGCAGCGCTGCTCAGTGACGAAAAGGAGCCTGTCGCGCCTGTCATGCATGCAAAAAAACTACCAGGCTGCCCGATGCGGCCCCGAGTCCGTGAGTTGGTCAGGTGGCACCTTCTGTGGCGGCACTGTGGTGCGCCCTTCAAGCCTGCCCATTTTGAGCTGTCTGCAGCGAACGCTGTGCCGATAGACGGTTGCTGGCACCTGTGACGGAGCTTCACTTGAGGATCTCAGTGATTTCCTAAGACAGAGATGGCTACGGCTGCCCTCCCCGGCTCAACCATTTCTGGGTGGTGGCCCGTGCTCAGCTTCAGACGTAAAGGAGGCAGACCCTTTATGTGAGCACTCCGACAAACCGAAAAATGGTCGCACATCTTGATATGTCCTCGACTAGATTCTTGCGTTGAGCTGGTTCCACCAAGCTTTTCCGGGTCTTGCGTGGGTTGCCATGAAGGCATGCGCACTCACTTCCAGCCCCACCCTACACTCCCTTAGCCAACTTCGAAGAAGGCTTCGCCCCGAGGAGCTTCTAGCTTAAAGGAGCGTGAGATGCGCCGCCGAGCTCGAAGCCATGGGGGCCAAATGCAGCGAGATGATGACGGGCACGCCTTCCCAGGTGAAGCCTTCGGAGGCGCCGGGCTTTTCAGGGCCGCCTTGGGTCCACTCGAAGCTCATGTCCCAGGCCCTCCTCGAAGAGGACGAAGACGATGGAGAGGCGCCCGGAGGGTTTCCATGAGAAGCACTGGTGAGCGGAGATGCGCAGAGATGCTGATTCGCTCATCGCTTGGAGGACGAGGAGGCTGAAGAGGAGGAGGACGAAGAGGATGCAGCTTCCTCAGCTGGGACCAGCCTAGAGGTTAGCTGGGCCGGGAAAGTTATAGAAGCTCGCACAGAAGTTTTCTTTTTTGTGAAGCGACTTCTCTCTGTATCGCACGCCGTAACTAAGGAGGAGACGTCGGTGAAAGCAGATGCGGAAAAAGCGCTAAAGGCCCTCCCGATCCCTCCCGGTTGGAGAAGATGCCTGGGCAACGCAGCTGGCAAGAAAAAGCGTAAGTCTTGGCAGGGTGGCCTCATGCGCGGCAAAACCGCTGCCTTTGAGGAGGTGCGATGGCCGAGTCATGGATCTTCGGAGACAGAGTTGGACTGTCATCTCGAGCTCCGCTTGTCGTATTATTTGTGTCACAAGACTATGTATGACTGCCAATCCAGTGGTTGCTTTGCCTTTGATTGAATTCATGTTCTTGCAGCTTACCGACTAGACTGTTTCACCACTGCAATATCGAAATGCACCCTCGCATGGTGTTTCCGGCAGGCCATCGAACACGCGACTTCGGTGGGCATCGACGAGAGCATGATCGCACATGCAGAGAAGAAGCTACATCAGCACAAGGCCTGCAACTGGGGGTCCGTGACCCGTGCAGCTTAAAGCGGTAAAGCATGATACAAAAACATCTTACCTCTCAGAATGCCGCTCAGACATGACACGCCCCCATGTACCATGACCACACTTGTGAACATATTATAGGCCCAAGACATCAAAACTATATTCGTGATGAGAAGGAAGTTCTCGTCCCAGGAACGGCAGTAGGTGTGGTAGGGGTAGTGGTGGCCGTGGTGGCGGGGGTGGTGGCGGTTCTGGTGGTAGCGGCGATGGGTGGCAGTCGTCGTCGTAGTGGTATTAATAGGAGGAAATGGCGCAAAACCACCCGTTCGCTCGCACCCACTGCGCTCCGGCCACATGACCGTCCTCATCACGGTCCTGTTCATCGCGAACCTCTTCTTGGGCTTCAGGGTTTCTGGCATGCAGTCACTCCTTTGGGGTTTTTGGTTTTTCGCCACCGTTCGCAGCTTCAAGGGTTCGGAGTCTTGAGTTTCTGCGAACGAGTCACGCCTTTGAGGGCAACTTTTAGGGTTTTGCGGGTTTTCGGGTTTCTTTCAGGTTTACGGTTTGTTGAAACCATTGTGCAGATTTTTCGAGTTTTTCGGAACCACTCAATTGCTTCTGTGAACTTGGGTTTTTCGGACACAGTCGCTCCTTTGTGGACTTCGGGTTCTCGGCAACCGCCTCAGCGAGTCACTCGTTTTAGGGTTTGGGGTCTGCCACCCGCTGAATTTTGGTTGTCGCGACTTCGAGTTTGCGGCAGCCCGTGACCCCTGTCTACGGTTTGTGGATGTTTGTGGTTTTCGCAGCCACGCACTCCCTTCAGAGTTTTGGAGTTTGGCCAGCAAGCTTTCCTTATCAGAATGTCGGGGCTTTTTGGAACCACCGTTTCGGGTTTGCGGCAACTGGGGACCCCTTCTGGACCCTAGGGCCCCAGGGTCTAAGGTCTTTTGCACCATTGACTATCGAGTCTTGGTCAGTCACTCCTGTTAGCTTCGGCTTTTCGGCAACCTCCCACCCCAGCGAGTCACTCCTGCCAAGGTTTAGGGTTTGAGCCATCTTCCATTACGAGAGTTTTGGGGCTTTTGGACAATCACTTGCTCCATTTAGGTTTTCGGATTTGTCCCAACCAGGCGGCAACCAGTGACCCCCCGAAAGGTTGGAAGTTTTCGCAACCATTCAGAGGATTTGAGGGCTTCCTGTTTTCCGGAACCAGTCAAGCGTTTTTGGGTCTTGGGTTTTGGCAGTCAGTCCTTTGAGGGTTTTGGGCTTTTCGAGCCACTCGTTCCCTTGGGCGTTTGCAAATCAGGCACCAGTTTAGCGATTCAGGGATGTTCTTTCCAGAAAACTGGGTGCACCAATGCAACATGTAAACCTCATGAAGTAAGCATTTCCCGGGCTTTTTCGAGATTACAAGCTCGCCGTCAGATGTGGCAAACCAGTCGTTAGTAGTAGTAGAAGTAGAAGTAG